TGAAAATGAGAATATTAAATAATAAAACGAAGCTAGTGTTCATTAGTAATCATTCGTGCATTTTTTATTGTTTTGGGCAAAAGATTTCCCTACTTAATTTATTGAAAACTCAACATAATAAGAGTACTTATAGCTTCTGTAATTTTAATAACTGTAAACAGTAAGCAAGGTTGTGMTATATGATTTGAATGGTGAAACTAWTYCACAACTACCGTTTTGAATGACGAATCTTAAGCTGGGACAACTAATGCTTAGAATGTTTTCAAAATTGGTGTTATATCAACTGGAATTGTTTAGAAATTATTCCGTAACTATTTCGAGATAGTTTTAGGTTTCGAGCTTAGAAAAGGATTTTTTCGGGACTAGCTTAAAATGGTTTCAGAAATGTTGTAGGACCACTTTATAATTATTTGAAAATGGATGGATAATCATTTTGAGGTACTTTTAGGCTTCGGGACTAGGAACGGGGTTTTTCGGGACTGGCTTAAAAYGTTTTCAGAATTGTACCACCTTGGAACCATTAAGAAATTGACAAACAACCTGTTTTAAATACTTTCAGATTTCGGGATTAGAACGGGATTATTTCGGGACAGGACTGAAATGTTCTCAGAATTGATTTTTATTGATTTAAAGTCTACTAATTTAAAATCTATTATGGAATACTGCTAGTCCCGAAATAAACTCGTCTTTATAGATTATTAAAAAAAAAAAAAATTATAAGAAATAAAGTTTAAAAAAAGTGATTCTTATTTTACTAACTAATTTTTTGTTAACTTAGAATGTACTAGACCGCTAGAGCATTTAGCTCTGCAATTAAATTTAACATTTTTTAATTTGCTTATAATTCTCAGATACTGAGAAGTTTGAGTGACTTGTATTTATTCTTTGGTGTGGACAGCTTTTATTCAAAATATAGTATTACATTTCATTATTTGTTGCTTACCTTAGTCAACCGCTACGCTAATAGTAAGGGCAAAGTGAAGCTGATAAAGTGCTACTATTTATAACATACACTCGATGAAGGAAACTACACGCTTTATCGAGTGGCTATATATAGCGCAAAACAATAGAATTATAACAAAACAAATTAAATATTTTTATTGAAAAAAATTCTCACTATTTTGTAGAACACAACAAAGTTTATAAAACACCCTCTGCTCTTAATAAACGCGCCTATTCAATTAGTCATAGATTCAAACAAGCGCTGAAGATAAGTTTTATTACTTTCTGCATTAAACGCAGCTTCAGCAATTTTTTTTTTTTTTTTTTCATTTCATTTAGACTTTTTGCACGCTTTTCTCTTACCCTTTTGGCCATATAATGGTAGCAATTCTCAGTAGGATTGAAATCTGAACTGTTTCCTGGCCACGTCTGAGACCTAATTCTTTCTTCCACAATATTCTTGGTTTGTAAACTGTACGTTTTTGTATTGAAATATTGAAAAATATATTTAAATATTTTTGTGCTTTTGTTAACGTTTTGGCTCTTTGGGAAACTTCCTGAAAATAAAAATGTTTGAGTGTATTCGAACAGCTGTTTCTAGTAGTCGGCAAAACGCATTGTTTCAAAGTTCCACTGTATTTTTCGGCATTGACAAATTCTTTAAGAAAAACTTGTTTATCTCCATATCATCAAATTGGGCGAATGTTTTACCTTGTTKAAAACACAGCTTTCCAAAACATGCTCTCCTGTYCTATGACGCACTGTGGCRTTTCCGTCGGATCCAAAAATAAAAAATTAATTTGGATTCKTCGGAAAAAATARTATTTCCCCAATCACTTATGCCCATGTCACCAGTTTTTTAACGTTTGGATAATTTATTTTCATATAAAGCCATGATTTCTCCTTTCTTTGCTTAAATTAAAAAATGTGCCAATTCTAATTAACACAAATAATTTTTTTTTTCAATACGGCAACTCTTACACAAAAAAATATACAAATTTAAGAAATGTGGCGACTCTTTTCGACAAAAATAAATAAAAAAAATTTTAATGTGGCAACTCTTATTGACAAAAGAATATATAAATTTGAAAAATGTGGCAATTTTATTGGCAAAAAAATATTTTTTCAATAAAGCTTCTCTTAATGGCAAAAAAATATTATCTAAAAAAATGTGGCAACTCTTATTAGTACAGAACATAAATATAACAATTCGGAATTATTTTTTTTATATTTAAGAAAAATTTAATGGCAATAAACAATAAAACAAATAATAAATTCTGGTTATAAAAAAAACAAGTATACAAAAAATATTAATTCTTTCTTTACTGGCATAGACACCGCTTACGTGATTACAGCCGAATTAACAACAGCGCACCAGTCGTTTCCTCTTTTCGCTAGGTGGCGCCAATTGAATATTCCAAGCGAAGACAGKTCCCTCTCCACTTGGTCCTTTCAACGGRGTKGAGGTCTCTTCTTCCTCTGCTTCCCCCGGCGGGTACTACGTCGAATACTTTCAGAGCTGGAGTGTTTTTAAACAACGGACAACATGACGTAACCAGCTTAGCCGCTGTCTTTTAACTCGCTGAACTACGTATGTCAATGTCATTGTACTATATATCTCGTACAGCCCATCGTTCCAAGCGAATGCGATATTCGCCGTGGCCAACGCGCAAAGGACCATAACCTTACGCAAAACTTTTCTCTCGAAAACTCGCAACGTCGACTCATCAGTTGTCTACGTCCATGCCTCTCCCCAATATGACTGGACGGGAATTATGACTGACTTATGGAGTTTGGTTTTTGTTCGTCGAGAGAGGACTTTACTTCTCAATTGCCTAAWCAGTCCGAAGTAGCACCTGTTGGCAAAAATTAACCTGCGTTGGAGATTAATTAGAACACATAAAAAATGGAAAATAAACAACTGACCAGATATCCAACATRCGCCAAATCTTGGTATATGTATATTCGTGACAAGACAATCGAAGCACACCACTTTYCGTAATTTTAAAAGCCGTTTTTGACAGCACGATAAAGAGTTGCCTTTATGACGCGATGTCTGAATTTGGTAGTACTATATATTATACTTAAGTATAATACTTTCAATCTCCAATTGGCGCAAAACAGTTTACAGAAAATGCAGTCAAAGTTAGACTCTGGTATACGGATGTTTTTAATGAGAATGGAACGGACAATTAAATTTCTATGGCTCTCTATGTGCTCTACTCTGGAGTACTTACCKTATCGTTTATCTTTTTATACCAGAAAAACAACAATTATCAGTTAACCGCGTTCCTTGGTAATCATTTATTATATTATTACAATGTATGTATGTATGTGGTTTTTAAAGCCGCATTCTTACGCACTCAGAGTGAGATAACAGTTTATAGTATAMTATATGCCAAATTTTCATGAGTATGCTCAGTTAATTTTTGGTGAGTGAAATATCAGTAAAATTTCGTTCCTTTATTATTTGCTTTTTATTTTCAGCCCTCGAATGGGCTATAAATCTCGTATGCCGATACGTAGAACAGTCAGTCTAACGCAACCGTACAGAACGGTCTTACAAAAGTCAATACAAAGCAAAAACTCATCGAAATGGAACGTTGGCAGAATCGTGTTGCTGTAGTCACTGGCGCCAGTTCAGGCATAGGTGCGGCTATTGTGAAATATCTCGCTAATAACGGTATGGTGACTGTCGGCTTGGCACGACGCAARGAACGTATCGAAGTCCTGCGCGATGAAGTGAAAGACGAGGCAAAGCAACGCATACACGCGATTAAATGCGATGTACGAGATGAAGCTGATGTGATAGCCGCATTCAAAGAGATCGAAAGCAAGTATGGACCGGTGGCGGTGCTGGTAAACAATGCCGGCGTTGCCCGTTTTGGTGATATGTTGAAAGAAGGCAACTCACAAGATATACGCCTGTCTCTTATACACATCTAGATGTGTATAAGAGACAGAATCAGCCATAAAACCAGTCGGTGAAAAATTCTAAGATTGCCAGTGTTGAAACAAAAATTACCTTCTTATACTTATGTCTACTGAAAATGAGAATATTAAATAATAAAACGAAGCTAGTGTTCATTAGTAATCATTCGTGCATTTTTTATTGTTTTGGGCAAAAGATTGCCCTACTTAATTTATTGAAAACTCAGCATAATAAGAGTACTTATAGCTTCTGTGCTTTTTATTACTGTAATCAGTAAGTAAGATTACTTTTCACTTCACAACCTTTTCGCAACTACCGTTTTGAATGACGAATCTTAATCTGGGACAACTAATGAGTAGGGCTCGGAGGTAGCTTGGAACTAGCTTAGAATATTTTCAGAATCGGTGTGGCATCACCTTAAATWTATTTAGAAGTGAGTGCATAACTAGAGGCTACCTTGAAAAGTTTTCAGAATTGGTGTGAAACCGCCTTGGAATTATTTAGAAATGAGTGGATACATTTAGACTTCGGGACGAGAACGGTATTTTTTCAGGACTATATTTAAATATTTACAGAAATGGTGTAAGAAKACCATAGAACTAKTTGGAAATGGGTGGAGACATTTTGAGATAGTTTTGGGACTAGAAAGGGATTTTTTTTTTTTTTTGTGCTAAGGCAGGCATTATAAGCTCAAGTAATCATTGCATAGTACATAAGGTATACCGGCAAAGCTGTTATTAAGATCTTCATGGAGGTATATTAAGTATGTGACGAAGTATTTAACACGCAGAAGGAAAGGAAGGAGACGCAATAATGCCATATTTAAATGACCAGTGTGACGAGCTGAGTCGTTTTAGACATATGTGTGTATATACCCAAACTAGTCTGTAAATTTTTATAAATCGATCTGAAATCGTTCACACGTCCTTTTCTCGCCAAGGAGATGTTCATTTGTTGGAATCGCCGATATCGGATCACTACAGCATACCGCTGTTATACAAACTGAACGATTGTAATGAAGTATTTCGTTTTGATTTTATGAAATATCTTCAAGAAATTTGGCATGGCTTATTGTGCAAGACAATGGTGCAATCTTCGAAGAARTTGYTCAAACTGAAATTCAATAGCATATACTCKTAGCTGCACTAATARYGATCAAAATTAAGTCTTTGTATGAGAAAAATTTTCAGTGGACATGACAACTTTACAAAATTTGGCGTATGTAATTGCTCAGGTAACGGAACACTCTCTAAAAAAATTGCTCAGAACTGTACACTATAACTTATATCTGTGACACAAACTGACTGTTCAAAATCATTTTCTTATATGGACAATTTTTCTTGCGAAGGCTATTAAAACTTCCATGCAACTGAATTTAATTTTAACTTTTGTTGACTTGCAATTACTATTTGCGGTGAAGCGCTTTGATTCAAATGATAAAACGATATTTCACAATGGGTTACTTATTTTAGGCAAACACTATGTAATKGTAAGGGCATAGACGCTTTTCTCTTATCCTTTTGGCCATACAATGACAGCAATTCGCAATTGGATTGAGATCTGAACTCTTTCTTGGCGACGTGGCAGACTCAATTCTTTCTTCTCAATCTTTTCGGTTTGTAATTTGTAGGTGTTTGTAATGAATTATTGAAAAATTTGTTTCAACATTTTTAGGCTTTAGTTACCGGAAAAAAAGTTTGCCTCAACCTGAAACAGTCCAAGTTTTGTATGACTTTGTTCACTTTAGCCGCTGTTTCTCCATTCGCTATCCAAGTTTATTCAGTACATTTTGCCGCTGTTTCTCCATTCGCTATCCAAGTTTATTCAGTACATTTTGCATAGAAATTGTAACACTTTTTACCGCAGTAGTTTCGTAAAATATTGACTTATTTGTGTCAGCAAGTTGAAGGGGATCTGCACATCCGTTTAATTATTTGTCGTTCAAGACGAGATTTTACTTTTTTCGGACGCCCACTTTTTATTCAGGTTTGCGGAGTTATTTGTGTTGATTTTCTTCACAACGCCACTTTTAGCGGAAAACATGAAGTTTAAATAACGGAAATAATAGTGCTTTAAAGAYTCCCACCTTTAGACGTTTTTCAAGCAAACAATTCGTAATGTCGCATCGAATTAGAAACTTATAAAAAGTATGAAGGAGAAGACTGAAACCATTCGYGCTAGATATGTAAAACTTATGACACAAAACTCCAGATTTTTGTAAAGCATTTCRGCTGGCCTATGAACGAAGCTTCTAAAGACAATATCATCCTTAACGCACGGAAACCATACAGCGGTAACAAAACCTGTAAGAGCATGCACGGACGCCCTCGCTTTACGACAGTTGCAGCTGATGCATGAGCCCACTTAAGTTTATAAGTTTATGACGCTTAATAAAATCTATTATCTATACACTGATAAGCACATAAGAG